AAACCTCTTCAAAAATAATATTTTTAAAAAATTATATAAAAATATAATTTGTATTTTATTAAGTTTGATTTTTTTTTTAACGCGTCATAATTGAAACTTTATAAATTTTTTTTATATTTAAAAGAATTCGAAATTTTTATCATTATATTATTTAAATATAATTAAATATGAGCGCCTGTCTAATTTCTACATGATCTACTTGTGTAACATTAAGTTGGCCCTCCCATTAATTTTACTATCCCCTAGGTAGTATATAATATACCCTATCATGTTTTTGAGTATGATTTAATTTCACTACCCTTTATTTTCATAGTAGCTAATTGTTCTTTATAATGGCCATGAGTAGCATGCGATCTATTAAAGAACTCTAAAATACTATTACAATCTGAAATAATTACTTTAATAGAATCTATTTTCATAAAATCAGAAGCAAGCAAATTGATAGCATGTGATGCGCATCTTAAATTTAAAATAAAGGGATATTCTTCATGTACAATTTGACGTGCAACTCTTAGATTCGATCTATTATCAGTTACAATCGCTTCAAATTTTCCAATTCCAATATTTTGCATTATTTTTCAAATTTTATTTGCTATAAATTGACCTGTTTGACTTTCAGTATTATATAATTTAAGTTTAACCAAATATTCTTTCTGCTTTGGTGTTGTGATAATATAATTATATATCAAATCTCCTCTTGGAGATGTCTATCCATCAAGACCTAAATAAATTAAATTAAATTAACATTTACAGTATAGATTTAAAATAAAGACAGTATATTTTAAAAACTAAACATACTAAGAGTAAGATTATCTTCTTTTTCTAATTTGGTATCAATTTTTTTTCAATTCTAATTGTTTCTTGATCCAAAAGCTTTCCTACAAGAGTATAACGTGATGGTAATGTATAACTCGGAATAGCTAGTTTAAAGAGATCAATGATAAAAGGGTTTTCTATAGTATTAAAAGAAAAACCACAACACATCCATGCCTTAAGAATGGCCTGATCAAGTTCATAAGCTCTAGTTTCAGATACAGATTTAATTTGCTAAAAATGTGTTATAATATTTGACTGTTTTATTGAACGAGATATTGGTTTATTTGGAGTTTCTGCCAAATATTCTCTCCACAATATCTTTATATTTCGTAGTATACCATCACACTTTCTAGCTAAATGAAATTTCATATCTTGTGGATGTCCTCTTGTCAATTTGTATTACACCATTTACAATCGGCCATATAAAACCCTCGTTCTAAAGCAGTACTTTTATTAACATAATCCCATATAGAATCTTCTTTTTTTCCTCCAGCATGTTTTCGTTTTTTTTCTGGTGGTCTTGATAGTCTTGATGACTCTTGATTGGAACAATCTTCATCAAAATAATATTGAGATAAAGCTACATTATTGTTTGAGCTTGAATTATTAAATGTAAAATGCATTTGATGTGTTATAATGATTAAATCTAAAGTAGTAAAAGGAAGCGTATAAAGTTTTTAATCATTTAAAAAAAATATCTGCAGAGATGATACATAAAAAAATTTTCACATGTTTTATATACTAATTTAGAAAAATAAGAAAAATTTTTGTGAAGGCTAGATTTTCATAATAAGGATAGTAATATTGCTATTATGACAATAATAGAGAGTATAAAAAACTAAGCACTATATAATACCCGATGCAAAAAAATCTATGTTCTTATTTATAATTAATAACATGCACTAAACTATTCTAATATCATTTACTAATATAAAATATTTTAACTAGATAACAACTTCTAACCATAAAGATTTATTAGCGTCGCTTGCAATTTATTGAAATATTAAATGTTTTGTTTTTTTTTCATTTTTTTAATTAATGACACATGTTTAGTATTATTCATATTGGCAGATTGTTAACAATAAATAAAGGCCTTTCATTCATTATCTTCAATTCCAGTTCTGCTTCATAGTAATAACCAATACTAAACACATTCAGCAAGACTAATAATAAAATTTCGTATTCGTCATATATGCTTTACTCAATTAAAAACCTAGCATCTTTTATTATTTAAATAAATAGCAAATCATATAAATAGAGAGAACTATGATTTGACTATCGCTATAAATAAATCTATATATACTATAATATATATATACGTACAGTTTCATCAACTCATAGATCAATTCTTCATTTGAAAACTCTATACTAACACTAACGCTAATCGATATATAAATATAATAAAAACCTGCATCTAACAAGAATCTTAAAAAAGCTTATAAAAAAGAAATGTTAATTTCAGATAAGGCAGTTAGGTATGATATTTAAGCTATTCATATTTGATTTTTTTTTTATCTATCTAACGATTATTTGGGTATAGCAAAATAAAAATCTGGAAGTGGATATCACAATAATTCAATGCAAACCAATCTACATATTTGTGATCACTAGATAGCAAGTTTTGCAACAAAATTTTTTACACTAAATCATAGTAAGAATTATAAAATTTCAATACAAATTGACTCTAATCTTACTACTGTATATTGCATATTACATCAGCAAATTTAATAGGGCGTAATATTGCGCAATAATTTATGAAGCGTAAGAAAACCGTAATATTACGTAATA